CTAAAGCACAAATTGGACCACCACACTCCTGTTTATAACGTTCCCAAGGCTTCTTGTAGCACTTAGAATCCAAACTCTTTAAAAAGGCCTACTGGTCTCTGCATCATTGGTCTCTGCTTCCTTTTAACCTCATCTCAAACCATTCTCTCCCCTCATGTACTGTGTCTGGTCACACTTGTCTTCTTTCAGTCCTCTCTCATATCAAGGACTATGCACACACAAGTTTTCCTCTCTGCTTTTTAACATTTTTCCTCTTATTTTTTCTCTTCACATGGCCAACACAGTTCCATCTTTTAAGGTTTGGCTTACAAGATTTCCTGACCACCCTATGTTATTTATAGGAGGATCCCCCTTGTCCTCTAGCTCAACCTCCTACAAGCTCACAAATCGCCCATCATCTAGGTCCTCTGAAACAATATAACTCAGATGTTGTCAGATTTATAAAATCCTACAACTTCTTCAAGTCCCTCAAAGCAAGAGGCAAATCTGCATTCTGATATAATCACTGTTTAAATAGTCCCATTCCCAAACTTACAAAGTGTATTTCAAAGATCAGTCAAGCTTCTTTGGCTTTGGATTTCCTCTCTGTCTTATCCTCTGATATTAACAATGTTGTGGCAATGGGTAAACTGGTTGATATACACATTTCAGTTTCAGGATCACCAACAGTGCATATATTTATGGATTTCATTAGTCTTCTCAACTTGCTAAGTGATGCTTAACATAACCTGAATACTTTAATAAAGATATTTCTTGTGTTCTTTCAGAATCATGTGATTCTATTAATTAATGACAATTTCTGGTAATTCTTCATGTAATATTTTAGTTATTTCACTGCATTTTCATTAACCAGTTGTGTTAGTATTTACTTTACAGTGCCTACTGTGCTTGTGGTCATCTCTTCATGGCAACATAGTAAAATGGGAAGAGTATGGACCTTTTTGAGTGAGTTAGAAATGAGTTCATTTTTTGCTTTACTAGTTTTGTGATCAAAGACAACATGTCTAAACTAAGACTCCATAAGATTAGGGTAACTGTAATAATATTAATACCATCCAGGTATTATTGTCACAGTAGCATGTGTTATTATTGTGACAATAATGTGTAAAAGGCAGCAGAGTTCTTCTTTATCCAACCTGATACTGCTATCTTAGTTTACTGTTCACTAGTAATAGTGTCATCTACATGTGGAATTACTGTGGTGAAATTCAAGAGGGTTGGTAAGATTTTACCAGGTACCCCTCAAAAATATTTTCCTTTCTCAAAACACTTTAGGCTGGGTGTGGCAGCTCATGCCTGCAATCTCAGCACTTTAGGAGGCTGAGATGGGAGGATAGTTTGAGGGCAGAAGTTCAAAACCAGCCTCAGCTGGTTACATAGAGAAAATAGATCCCATCACTACAAAGCAAGGAAAGAAGGAAAAAAATTGACGTGGCATACACATCCTAGCTATTCAAGAGGCTGAGGTAGGAGGATCACTTGCGCCCAAGAGTTTGAGGCTACAGTGAGCTATGATCATGCCACTGCACTCCAGACTATGTCCCTTAAAAACAAACACTTTAAAAGAATTTATTTAAATTATAAGATGGACACAAACGTGAAAGGTTTTTTAAAATCACTATTTACATTTCTAAAAGTGTTGGCCCAGCACTCTTTAAAACTTTTTATTTCACAATACTTAAAGATTCATAGGAAGTTGCAAAAATAGTATAGAGCAGTCCCTTTCACCTAGTTTCCCTCAATGGCAACATCTCTCTTTTTTTTTGGTTTATAGCTCTCATAAGTCTTTTATTTTTATTTTATTATTATCTTATTTTAAAGATATGGGGTACAATTCAAGGTTTAGGTATACCCTCCCCGCAGTTTCCCACTACTGCCAATCCTTTTCGTATAGTATTACGATAATTGTTCAAGATTTGCTTTTAAGTGAGAACATGTGATACTATAAGTTCTTTGTTTCTGTTAAGTCACTGAGTATTATAGGTTCTAAGTCCATCCAGGGCACTGGCAACATCTTAAATAACTACAGTAGAATACCAAAACCAGGAAAATGACATTAGCAGAATCCACAGAGCTTATAGTATTTCACCAGTTGTTACATGCACTTAGTGTGTGTGTCTGTGTGTGTGTAGTTCTATAGAATTTTATCATCTGCGCAGATTCATGGTTCAATACTTTGTCTTTTATAGTCGCTATAATAGATTTCAGAATCTAATAATAAAAGCAATATTTATAGTACGGTATCTGATTTAATCTTGGTTATAATTCTGATGTTTTCACCTATAGTTTAACAGACAGAAAACAGTATGTTATGCACCTATAGGCTGATTTTTCTTACATTTCCCGAATAAGAGACTGATTGGCCCAGAGTAAGATCCGATTAAATTTACCTAACATTTATTGAAAATTTAGGTGCCAGGCATGGTATCAGGTATAATATGGGTAAAAAATAAAATAAGACATGCTTGTTTCTCCAGGATTTAAAAAGCAGTTAGGAAGACAGACTCATACATACATATTAATACAAAGTATTGATAAACTTGATGCAATTTCCCAAAACAATAAAACTCTCCAAAAGCAAATTTCAACCTTTATTTGTAAGTGATAGGGACATAAAAGATTTCTAGAAGAAAACAAAATAGAGATTCTCTCTAGGTCTACACCTGCTGTCACAGTAAGGCTATTAAACGAAGTACTTGGCATGTGTAACTTGTTGACGTAATAATGCTCTGTGGCAGAAACACTAATTGTTAAAGATTTACAAAATATACGCATTGAAAGTGAAAGTGACTCTGTAAAAATGCATCACAACTTTTTTATTATAAAGAAAAAATATATTGACTTTGGTCTTAGCTCAGAATATACAAAGTTACAAATATACAACGTATATACAAATATATGTTGCTATTTGAACTCTGACGTAGCTAGGGAAGCAGTTATGCTGAATATGGGTATATTTAATGCTTGTTGCTGAAAGTTTGTTGTTATTTTTAACAACACTGGTTGTCCTATGAGGAATGTAAAATTTTGAAAGAACAGTAATTAAAATCAAATTCTGGAATGAATTTTAAACTGTAAAATTAGCCATAGGACTAGCATTCATTCACAAGAACATTCTCATTCAGAGAAATTTTTCTCAAGATGAAGACTGCATCAGGGCACTGTGAGGGAACCAAGAAAGCTGCAGATTTTTGTGAAATCTGATGTCGCATTGGTACTAGTCTTCAGAAACACCAATCACTTACATCAACATCTTTTTCCCAATTATTCTTCTCCTTTCCACCTGCCCTCTGTTCCCACTAACTGCTCATGAAAGATCAGAGAGCAGGAAAGAGTCAAATGATTTACAGAATCCATGAAACAAAGAAAATGTTATAGCTGATCTCTCCCCCATAAAAAAAAAATTTACTATGCTTTGTTTAGTAAGAGAATATCCAAATAAAAAACTTGAGGACAATAATTTATTAATTTAATTGAAACTAATTATAGGTCTAAATTTCAAACTTTAGCTGGTGAATATAATAGCCTTCTTTAGATTATAGGTTTAACTAAGAAAATGTGATCAAAATTTTCTACTGTCCTACTTTTATACCCCCAAGCAGATTTTGCCAATAAAAAATTATAAGCACCAAAGATAGGAAAAGTTGAAACATTTTCCAGCTTTGCTTGAATCTAGTCTTATAGGTATAATTTTATTACTTTATTACAAGTAATGTAAACTCTACATTTCAGAATATAACACGTAAAATAAGAACACATTTCAAGGCAACTTATATACAATGTAGTTTCTCAATTTGTTAGATAGTCTATGTAGTTTCTCAATTTGTTAGACAGTCTATGTAGTTTGTAATGCATCACCATATGGGAAAGAAAAAGACAAGTTCACCCACTTCAGGTCTAAAAGGACTCAAGGTTGTACAATGCCTCTTTGGTTTATATCCTGTTTATATCTTATACAAAAGCAGAAATTTCACAGAGAAATAATTACTATATGCAAATAAATTCACTGTCCTGTAGACACTTCTTGTCTTCTGACAACACTGATAACACTTTGGAATTTAAAACTTCCATTAACAGCAGTAAAGTCTATGTATTACCCTTTGTAAACAAAAATGATACACTAATACATATTATTATTATTATTAGTCTATGCGTGGCTTCATTTATGTTTTCAGAAGCAGCAGTTATTTTGTATTAAGTCCTGACGAAGTTTCTCCCTGAGAGCAAAATAATCTTCTGAAGTACAGTTGGTTGGGGTTAGAAATGCAATTTGTGGTAGACATAGTCAATCAGTATAAGGCCTCATTAACTGACGCTCTAAGGAAATGATTCACTGACCACAGACAAAATGGAGCTGATAATTTTCACTGATTGCTGTCCTATAGCATATTAGCATATGATATGCAGCCCTTAAGCCCTTGCCAGACGTATTACCTAGCTGGACATTTCCTTCTGGTCAAAAAATTAGCTACAGATTTTACCTAATTTGAACTATCAGAAGTTCTATATACTAAATAAATCACAGCAGGAACAGTAAAATCTGTTATAAGATGAACAAACCTAAAACTCTAATGAAGTCCATCTAGAAGAAAGGAAATACATGAGACAGCAACACACACAAACAAACACACACACACACACCCCAGCACTCTCATCATAAATTAATTTTACCATATTTTCTAGGATATATTAAAATAGTATTATTCTAAAGACCTCTCATATTCATTAAAAATACCCTCAAAGCTACAATGAGTGAAGGCAAAGATTAAGAGAGAGAAGAATTAACTCACAGAGTACACTGGTGAGGGTGGAGGGGGGTTAGGGTTCAGAAACTACTTATGAGGCACAATGTTCACTATCTGGGAAATGGGCCACCTGAAACCCAATCCCCATCACTATACAATATGTCCATGTTAAACAAATATGCATGTGTACCCCCTGAATCTAAAAGAAGGGAAAGAAAAAAAGAATTAACCCACAGAACTTACAAAAGTGGTTACCTGGTAGTCTGGTTTTGTAAAATAATCCAAAGAGGAGATATGGTCTAGAAAGATGCTGAATTCTGGAGGGAGATGTTTCAACATGAGCCTGTGGTCGTATCTCTCCTTGATAGAGCCTACTTGCTCCTGGAAAGTAAAGAGAAAAGGAACCAAAGTCAATTTATCTTGACAGCTATGCATTAAAAGCCCCTTAGTAACAGTCTCAAGAGTATGTATAGGGAATGAAATTGTGGTAATTAAGTACAAAAGCAAAAATGGAGCTCTTACAAATAGCTTAATGCACAGTGCTGTAAAGGGCGAAAAACTGTAATGCAGAATCAAAACAGTAACAGAGTTCTGCATCAGTTGGATTGATAATCCCCAAAAGAAGAAATATATCATAAATCTAATCTACTTTTATCAACATGTGTTCATAGTTTTCTAAATCAAACAATATAATGTGACAATTAAAAACTATTATAGTCAGGTGTGGTGGCTCAAGCCTGTGATCCCAGCAATTTGGGAGGCCAACGCAAGAGGACTGCCTGAACCCAGGGGTTTGATATCAACCTGGGCAACTTGGTGAGACTCCATCTCTACAATAAACCAAAAAGTTAGCCGGGCGTGGTAGTACATGCCTGTAGTTCCAGCTACTTGGAAGGCTGAGGCGGAAAGATTGCCTGAGCCCAGTAGGTCAAGGCTACAGTGGCTATGGACATGCCACTGCACTCCGTCTGGGCAACAGAGTGAGACTCCAATTCAAAAAAAAATAAAATGAAAACTATTATAACTGCTCACTTTACTTATAAAAAAGAAAAGAGAAAATTAGTGACATTAAAAGCTAAGAGGGCCAGGCACGGTGGCTCATGCCTATAATCCCAGCACTTTGGTAGGCAGGGGTGAGGAATGCTTGAGACCAGTTTGGGCAGCATGGCGAGTCCTCGTCTCTACAATAATTAAAAAAAAAAAAAAAAAAGCTAAAAGGGCAACAAATCAAATCAGAAGCTATTAGTATCTATTCTTCATGTACATAGAAAAGATACAACATTAATTAGATCTCTAATATCAGTTCATAAAGAGAAAACTATATATATTAGGATATAGCGAAAGTGCTTGCAAGTAGATTTTCAACAAAAATGCTTACTCAGGAGAAATTTTTATTTCTTCTAACAAAACTGACATCTCCATTCACAAAATTACCTTGTCCTTTATTTTTCTCCAAGGTAACTGGCCAACTACAAACTCCACCAACATGTAGAATAAGGACCAGAGGTCATCATGTCTTCCCATTTCCTTTATAAACAAAACAGAATTCCCCATCACATTACATTACTACTATCTGTGAGTACATTACACTGCTTAAGGCTCAACCGTTTTATTTAATTCTTTATTTTATTTAATTCTTTAGGCTCACATTCTTAAATTTATTTCCCATAAAATTATTTGGTAAATATACCTATATATTTACATAGCTATATTGCAATCTACATGGCAGAATATACATATTGAAAAACTTTTAAAACAAAGAATATCTAAAAACCCAGAAATGCTCATAGTACATTAATTAATGTGTTCAAATAAGAGAAAGGGAAAACCTAAAAGCCAATTAAAAAAAAAATAGCTGAAAATAAGAGAAGCAACCTGATGTTGAAGATTTGGCTTTGGCTGTTCTGGGGGCAAGTGTCGTGAGTTTATCAACCAGGAAGGGGAGAAACGTAAAGGCCCTGGGCCTGCGTAGGACTAGAGTTGCAACTGAGACATACTCGCCCCCACTACATAGCTAGGACCCTAAAATGCCTACATCCCTAATGCAATATTTGATGTGTACATTATACTGTAATTTTTTTCTATAAAATGTAACTGTTTATCAAAGGGGCAAAATGAGTTTGAAAAAATTGTCTTGAGAATTTGTTACCACAGGCCTAACCATTATTTAGCGAGGGTTAAATATATACACCACCTGTGTGGTCTGGAAAACCACACCCAGAAATTAATTTCAAATGTTTTCTGAGTGATCATGTCCTACAAGAATGAGAGAACCAAATGAGAATCCTTTCAAGATAAATGTACCCTTAAATTCAGGCCTCACAGAAGTCCTATAGAAAAAGCCTCACCAAACATATGCTCATTATTCAAAAATATAAAATATAACAGCAAGCAGGCTACCATAAGCTAATATCAGGAGAAACTACAAAGAGCACAATAATAAATCCAAGAATTTCAGAAATGGAATTACAAGATACAGAATATGAAATAAGACTATTTAAAATGTTTAAGTGAAAAACGGAATCAAAATAATCAGAAAGGAACCATAATCAAAAAGCCAAAAGTCAGCAGATTTGAAAAAGGATAAAAAATAATATCTAGTAATAAAAAGCACAATTATAGAAATTAACCCACAGAACTCAATGAACAGGTTAAAAAACTGATCAAACAGAGCAAAAATAAATAATTAATGAATCCCAAAACAGACCTAAAGTAATTATTTAGAAAGCAGTACGGAGACACACAAAAGAGTTAGAAAATCTGACAGTGGCTGGGTGCAGTGTAGTGGCTCATGCCTGTAATCCCAGCACTTTGGGAGGTGGAGGCAAGAGGACTGCCTGAGCCCACAGGTTCGAGACCGGCCTGGGCAACTTGACGAGACCCTGTCTCTGCAATAAATCAAAGAAAATTAGCCTGGTGTGGTGGTGCATGCCTGTAGTTTCAGCTACTTGGAAGGCTGAGGTGGAAAAATCACCTGAGCCCAGAAAGTCGAGACTGTGGTAGCTTTGATGTTGCCACTGTATTCCAGCCAGGGCAAGAGAGTGAGACTGGGTGGGAGAGGGTGGGGAAGAAGGAGGGTGGGAGGGAGGGAGGGAGACCTGAGAATGAACTTAATGAGACACGAAGGACAGAATAAGGTCTAACATACATCAATTTGAAGATCTGTGGGAAAGAATATATAGAGAAAGGGAAAAAGCAATATTTAAGAAGTCATTTCTGAGAATTCTCCAAAATCAATGAAAGACATTAACATTTGCATTTAGGAAGCAAAACATATCCCAAACAGAATAAATATTTAAATATCTACACCTAGACACATTTGTGTGTAGGACAAAAAAAAAAAAAATGTCAAAAGTATTCAAATAAAAAGAACACACTGAATACAAAGTAACAACTATTAAATGAAAAAAGATTTTTCTCAACAGTAATGAAAGAACCAGAAGTAAAATAGTTTTTACAAAGTATTGAGATTGACCTAGAGTCTATAATACTGAGGGATCTATCACAGAAAAAAAGAACTGAGTACCACATGTTCTTACTTATAAGGAGACCTTGAACAATTATCATAATACTATAAGAAAGGGGTTGGCAGTAGTGGGAAACTGCCAGGGGAGAGGGGGTGGGATTGGCAGTGATGGGAAACTGCCAGGGGAGGTGGGGGGCATACTTCATCAACAAGGGTACCTGTCTAATGCACATTTGTAACCTAACCCTGAATTATACCCCACACATCTTTAACATTAAAAATTAAAAAAAAATTTTTTAAAAACTAAGTATTAAGATTAAAAATATATTAATAAAGAATTAAAATAACAGCAGTAAAAGAGAATGAACATAGTCCAAGTGTTGTCCTTGTATTGTTTGGGAATTATTTGTGTTAAAAGTTTAAGAATAAGAAACCGAGCCTAGGCCGGGCTCAGTGGCTCAGCCTATAATTCCAGCACTTTGGGAGGCCGAGGTGAGTGGATTGCCTGAGCCCACGGGTTCGAGACCTGCCTGAGCAACTTGACAAGATCTCATCTCTACAATAAATAAAAAATTAGCCGGGCATGGTAGCACATGCCTGTAGTTCCAGCTACATGGAAGGGTGAGGCGGAAGGATGGCGGAGCCCAGGAGGTCGAGGCTGTGGTGGCCGAGAGCGGCTACTGCACTCCAGTCTGGGTGACAGTGTGAGACTCTAACTCAAAAAAAAAAAAAAAAAATAGATTAAGAAACCAGAAAAAATAGAATGTATTATTTTTAGAGATTATCAATTTAGGGTTGCAGAATATGGAAGAAAGAGATATGACAGAATTATCTGGAAACTTCTAAAAGGCAAGCAATTTTGGAGGTTCCACTATTTTCACTCCTGCATCACCAGGTAAACTAACAGTTGTTGTGAAGTGGTGTTACTGTGAAAAGCATTCTACCCCTCAGGTGTGCTGGGAGCAGAAAAGAAGGTTAAGAATCACTGTTTCGCCGGACTTGGTGGCTCAGCCTGTAATCCCGCGCCCTGGGAGGCTGAGGTGAGTGGACTGCCTGAGCCTGCGGGTTCGAGACCCGCCTGGGCAACTTGGTGAGACCTCATTTCTACAATAAACCAAAAAATTAGCCAGACGTGATAGCGCGTGCCTGTAGTTCCAGCTACTTGGAAGGTCGAGGCGGAAGGATCGCCGGAGCCCAGCAGGTTGAGGCTGCAATGGCCCGGAGCAGCCACTGCACTCCAGTCTGGGCGACAGAGTGAGACTCCAACTCAAAAAACAAACAAAACCAGTGTTTCAGAGACACCCGTATGGAAATTGGAACTGGCAACCAATTCCTGATCAAAACCCCATGCACCCATGCCATAAGAGATAAGATAGACAAGTGGGACCTCATCAAACTGACAAGTTTCTGCAAAGCCAAAGAAACCATCAAGAGAGTGGGGAGACAGCACACAGACTGGGAAAAAATATTTGCCAACTGTATGTCTGACAAAGGCCTAACATCTAGGATCTACAAAGAACTCAAAAGTACCAAAAAGAAAAACAAACAGCCCCATTACACAGTGGGCAAAAGATATGAATAAATAGTTCTCAAAAGAAGACACACGAACAGCCAACAGATACATGAAAAAATGCTCAGCCTCACCAGTCATCAAAGAAATGAAAATTAAAACTACACTGAGATACCACCTAACTCCACTCAGGATGGCTATCATCAATAACTCAGCAACAATGCTGGAGAGGATGCTGTGAAAAGGGAGCACTTTTACACTGCTGGTGGGAGTGTAAACTAGTACAGACTCTGTGGAAAACAGTGTGGTGATTCCTAAAAGATCTAAAAATCGACCTTCCATATAACCCCGCAGTCCCCCTACTGGGAATATACCCGGAAGAACTCAAATCACTGTAGTTCCAGCTACTTGGAAGGCTGAGGCAGAAGGATCACAGGAGCCCAGCAGGTCGAGGCTGTGGTGGCCAGGAGCGGCCACTGCACTCCAGTCTGGGTGACAGAGTGAGACTCCAACTCAAAAAAAAAAAAACAAAAAAGATAGCTGCACATGTATGGTTATCACAGCATTGTTCACAGCAGCAAGAACATGGAACCAACTGTGCTGCCCATCAAAAGATTAAAAAAATGTGGTACATATACACAACGGAATATTATGCAGACATAAAGAAGAACAAAATCATGAACTTCACAGCGACCTGGATGGACTTAGAGTCTATAATACTGAGTGATCTTTCACAGAAACAAAGAACTGAGTATCACATGTTCTCACTCATAAGCAGACCTTGAACAACTATCATAATACTATAAGAGAATGATTGGCAGTAGCAGGAAATTGCCAGGAAGGGGGTGGGGAAGCAGGATTGGCAGTAGTAGGAATCTGCCTGGGGAAGGGGGCGGTGCACACCTCATCAACAAGGATACCTACATAATGAACATTTGTATACCTAACCCTGAATTGTGCCCCACATCTTTAAAATAAAAAAATTAAAAGGAAAAAAAAAAAAGAATCACTGCTATCCACTATCAAATTCCTCTACGTGGTTAGATAAATACCAGATTAACTTTGTTAACCTGCTTAGAAAAAACTCTATGCTGCAAAGGTTTTTACAAGATATCTCCTCTCTCCTTAAATTAAAAATTAAAAGGTATATAATATTTTTCTATTAGCTATGTTGGAAAGGCCCATGTAGCTATTATAATATCTTAAAAATAATACTGTATTTCGAGATTCCAATGTTGACATAATTCTTTAACATACTTAACTGGAAAACCTAGTATTTTAAAAATTTTATAAGAATCTATTTGAAAAATAAGAGTACTTTCCTTTCAAAGTAACTGACTAGTTGTCCTAAAATAAAACAACACTGAATCAAATCAAAAGAGTCAAATGCTTGGCAAAGCACTACACACTAATAAAAACACCTTCACAATTTTCAATTTATAATCATATCATAAGAAACCAAAATAACTGAAGCACAGCATGTAAGAAAATAGCATACTCCTATTGTATTTAGCATTGGTTAGAGTCTCATTAAAGCACTTGTGACTTCACAAAACAAGAACAAGATTAAAAAAAGTACTGTATCAAGGAAATATTTCTTCTTATTGTATCAAGGAATCACTTGTTAAATTTCTCCACTCCCTGTAAACAAGATGAAGGATTAATAATCCATAAAAGGGCACCTTTCCTATTCATAATTACAGTCCAGGATGAGGGAGAAAAAATCAGAGCAGAAGAACAAGGCCAAAAAGAGAGAGGAGAGAGAGGGGAGAGACAGAGGAGGGGGAGGAGGGGAGAGACAGAGGAAAGAGAGGGGAGAGAGGAGAGAGAGGGGAGATAGAAAAGAGAAGAGGGGAGGAGGGAGAGAAAAGAGAGGGGGGAGAGTCAGGAGAGAGGGAAGAGAGAGGAGAGAGATGGGGGAGAGATGGGGGAGAGGGATGGGGAAGAGAGAGGGAAAATGGGGGGGAGACAGGGAAGAGAGGGAGGAGAGGTGAGAGAGGAGAAAGAGGAGAGGGGAAAGGGGGGAGAGAGAGGGAAGAGAGAGGTGAGAGATGAGAGAGAGAGGAGTGGAGGAAAGAGGGAACGAGGAGAGAGAAAGGGGAGAGAGAAGAAGAGAGAGGAGAGGGAAGGGAGGAGAGAGGAGGGAGAGAGGAGAGAGAAGAGGGGAGGAGGGCGAGGGGAGAGGGGCAAGGGGCGAGCGGCAAGGGGCGAGAGGCAAGGGGCGAGGGGCAAGAGTGAGAGCAATTTTAGCCCAAGAGGAAATGGATAATTTACTAACATAAAAGCTAAAATATTTTAAAATTGTCTGCACTTGAGACCTTCTTGAAGGCAAAACTTTTGGTAGGGAGAGATGGCACAAATTAGATACATATTATAGACAAAATGATGACGCTTACATCTTATTAGGTATTGATAATATTCTCAAATAATTTATTGAAGTAGAACACAGATGTTTAGTTTCTTCTAAATTCTATACTGAACTTGTTAATACTTACTGATACCTAATTAAGGACACAGATTCCCCATAGCCATAAATATACTTAGATATTATCTTTTCTGGCAAATCCAATTTTATTTTGTGCGCAGCTGCACATACCTGTCATTACTTTACTATGTATTATTAGTCTTACTAACTCCTTTATCCTCAGTGCCACACAAGAGTGAATTAGAACAACCATTCCAAGTAACTTTGAGATATAAAGGGGATCCTCAACTCCCAAGCACTTTTGACACCATTGTACTCTAAAATCAAGAAGGCAATCTGATTTAAGTCATCAGCATACTTACACACATATGACTCTAGTTAAGATACCTACCCTGTTCCGATGAGCATTGATTGATGCATAACGAACTGTCCCTCGAAAGCCTGCCACAGCTCGAGGCTACAACAAAGCCAAGGAAAGAATAATAAATAAGCTTCAAATAACAGTAGATTCAGCATGCTTCAGCCCATGAAGTAAGTTACAGGAACAAGTCTGTTACTGTCACAATAACACACCATTTATTTTAATTTGTAACTTTTTACTACAAAATTACAGAAAACTAGAGAGAAAATATCTTTAAATCACATCTTTTAAAAAACCATTGATAAATTTTTAGTTAATTTTCAGTCTGCTTTTTTTTCTACCTACATTTTATTTTTAAATTTTTATTTATTTTATTTACTTAGTTTAGAGACAGGGTCTTGCTCTGCCATGCAGGTCAGAGTACAATGGCTACCCACAAGTGCGATCATAGCTTGCTACAGTCTCAAACTCCTAGGCTCAATTGATCCTCCCACCTCAGCCGTCCAAATAGCATCTGCCACCATGCCTGATTAATTTTTTTCCTTTTTTTTGAATCAGGGTCTCACTCTGTTGCGCAGGCTGGAGTGCAGTGGCACGATCATGGCTCACCATAGCCTCAATCTCTTGGACTCAGGTGATCCTTCTGTCTCAACCTCCCAAGTAGCTGGGACTACAGGCACGTGCTACCACACCTGATTAATTTTTTAAAAATTATTTGTACAGATGAGTTCTCGTTTTGTTGCCTGGGCTGGTCTTAAACTCTTGGGTACAACTGATTCTCTCTTCTTGGCCTTTCAAAGTGCTGGGATTACAGGTGTGAGCTTGCTTGGCTCTCTTTTTTTTGTAGAGATAGGCTCTGTTGCTCATGACATCTCAAACTCCAAGCCTCAAGTGATCCTCTGATCTTGGCCTCCCAAAGTGCTGGGATTACTGGTGTGAGCCATCAAACCCAACCTCTACCTATATTTTAAAATACAGTGGCATTTATGACACGTTTTATTTTTAAGTTGGTGTCTCATTCTGATTCTCAGGCTGGAGTGCAGCAGCAGGATCATGGCTCACTGCAGCCTTGACCTCCTGGGCTCAGACAATCTTTCCACTTCAGCCTCCTGAGTAGCTTAGACATGCTACCAAGCCCAGATTTTTTTTTTTTTGGTAGAGATGAAGTCTTGCTACGTTGCCCAGGTTGGTCTTGAACTCCTGGGCTCAAGCAATCCTCCCATCTCCACCTCCCGTCGTGCTTGGACTACAAGTGTGAGCCACCATGCCTGACTATTTTTAAGTATTCTCTATTTAATGACAAGTCTTAGTAACCAGAAGCTTCTATAATCTTTTAAAATCTGCTTTATTTTCTTAGCTGCCATTCAGTGACAGTCATAGTCAGTGGATCTCAATATTTTCCTAAAACATCATGATCAAGAGGAATATCTAATATTCTCAATTTGGTTGATGAAACTAAGGTTGAAGATTCCTCTTTCTAGAAGAAAAATGTCTAAGAGAATATATGAAAGTCTACCATTAATCCTTTTCAGTAATAACAGTAAATAACATTTCAGAAGTTGACATTCACTTTTATTCATTACTGACATGAATCATCAGCTAACATAAAATTGCTTTCTATAGCATGTAATTTTGTCCAGTTATTTTCATTTTAGTATGTCAGGATGAAAATCTCCAGAACTATTATCACATTCTGAAGCCTAGTCCACAGTTAATTAGACATCTAGATGTCCCCCTAATGGATTCTAGCCAAGATAAGTCCAGGAGACTCTTTCTTCTTCTTCTTCTTTTTTTTTTTGGAATTGGAGTCTCACTCTTGTTACCCAGGCTGGAGTGCAATGGCATGCTCACAGCCACTGCAGCCTCAGCCTTCTAAGTAGCTGGAACTACAAACGCATGCCACCACATTCGGCTAGTTTTTGTGATTTATTGTAGAGATGAAGTTTCAAGTTGCCCAGGCTGGTCTCGGACCCTCAGGCTCAGGCAATCCTCTCACCTTGGCCTCCCAAAGTGCTGGGATTACAGGCTGAGCCACCACGCCTGGACTCTTTCTTCTTAAGAGTAAAAAAAAACAAAAAAAAAAAAGAGTGTCACTGGCCTGGCTCTGACCTCACTTCTATCATGGAAAGGTTGAATTAGAGGTAAAGAGAGATTAGCTATTATTAGTTTCTTAATATTAGATATATCTCAAATTTCTTTATGCACATACAATAAATACAAATGAATATTCTTATTTTTCCCTTTTGATTCAAAAGGTAGCATGATGTACACTGTCTATCTTTTATTCATTTAACAGTGCATCTAGGCAATCTTGACGCAAGTAATCAAAGAAATGATACCAGACTCACATATCTCATCTAATTCTAATAAAGAAAAAAATAATAATACCAGGTCAAGGAACTTCAATCACCTCATTTAATGTAGTAAAAACAACTCAAACCCAACTGGGAAAAAAGCCATCTATGCAAATGATTCTAATTCAAAGCAGATTATAATGAACACCATTAGCAAAGTACAATGAGCTATAACACTCAGGAATGGTAAGGTTTATTTCCATTTGGTAGGAGGGAAGAAGGAAATGTCTTAAGAACAGGGAACATTTTACTGGGCCATGAAATAGGTTGTCTTTTGAAACTTTCCCAGTTGATGGCAATTTGGCAATATCTACCAAAATTGCAAATGTATTAATATATATTCTCTTTTGTGCCACAATTTCACTTCTGGAAATTTATCTCAGAGATATAGCAGCATGTGCACAAAACTAGTGGATGATTTACTATCATCAGTGTTTGTGATAGCAAGAGACTGGGTGCAACTTAAATGTCTGTCAAAGAGGACCAATTAAATTATAATATATCCATATAATGGAATCTACTTTGTAGCTGTAAAAATGAATGGGGAAGCTCATATACTGACATGATAAGATTGCCCAGGGCTACACAGCGGAGGTGGAGGTGACCTCAAAGGCACATAATGTCGGTAGCTCATTCATCCGTCCATGCCAAATGGATCGTGGGGAAGGTGATTGGGACAGCAATGCAAAAAACTGCTAAAATGAGAGTGACCAGGCTTGTTCTGGATCCCTATTTGTTAAAGTATTTTAATAAGCGAAAAACCTACTTTTTTCACGATGCCCTTCAGCAGTGCACAGTTGGAGATATTGTGCTTCTCAAAGCTTTACCTGTTTCACGAACAAAGCATGTGAAACATGAACTGGCTGAGATTGTTTTCAAAGTTGGAAAAGTCATAGATTCAGTGACAGGAAAACCTTGTGCAGGAACCACCTACCTGGAGAGTCCAGTCAGTTTGGAAACTACCCACCTAACAAAAAATGTGGAAGCACTCAATATCTTTTCAACACAGTGAAGGAGGACTGGAAGAAGGAGTCAAAGGGAATGATTTACACATTTGCTTTATGGAAAAAGAAATTTTTCTAAGTTTTAACACAAGCTGTATCCAAGTTTTCTTGTGGTATTTATGAAATAGCTAAAAGTAAAAGCCTTGTATAATTTTTCATAAAGGTGAGGAAAAAAAAAAGAAAAGATTGCCCAGATACACTAAGTGAAAAAAAGGTACAGAATGCACATCATGCTACCTTTTTAATCAAAAAGGGAAAAATAAGAATATTCATTTGCATTTGTTGTATGTGCATAAAGAAATTCTGAAAGAATATGTTAAGAATCTTATAATAGTATACCTATATAAAGGTGATTTTAGGGGGCAGAGGAAAGGACTAGAGGCAGTATATGAAATGAATGGATTTGGAATAGGCAGGTATGAAATGTAATTTTCACATCAGGTTTATTGAAGTATAGTTTATATATAGTAAAACTCATTCTTTACATATACACAGTTCTATGAGTTTTGACAAAGATATAAAGTCATAATTAAGACAGCAAATATTTCTATCACGCAAAGAAGTTCCCTTAGTGTCTCTCTGTAGTCAATCTTTCCCACTCCCAGTCTCTGGCAACCAATAATTTCTGTCCTTTACCAGCACTTAGTATTGTCTAATTTTTGTCCTAATCTTTCTAATTGGTATGTAGTGGTATCTCACTATGGTTTAATTTTCTCTTCCCTAATAACTAATTATGTTGACCATCTTTCTCTCTTTTTTTTTCTTGAGCTTGAGTATCACTCCATTGCCCAGGCTGAAGGTGCAGTGGCACGCTCATGGCCACCCCAGCATCGACCTGCTGGGCTCAGGTGATCCTTCTACCTCAGCCTTCCAAGTAGCCAAAACTACTATACCCAGCTAATTTTTTGATTTATTGTAGAGATGAAGTCTCGCCAAGTTGCCCAGGCTATTCTCGAACTTGTGGGACCAGGCGTCCTCTCACCTGACCATTTCTTAATATGCTTATTTGCCATCTGTATCTCTTCTTTGATAAAAATGTCTATTCAAATCTTTTGCCAATTTTTATTGGGTTGTTTTCTTTTTAGTGAGTTGTATGAGTTGTTTATAGATTCTGAATACAGGTCCTTTATCAGATGTGTTTTGCAAATACTTTTCCTAGTCTGTAACTTCTCTTTTCATTTGCATAATGTTTTTCAAAAGGCAGAGGTGTTTAATTTTTATAAAATTTAATTCTTTAACTTTTGCACCACATTAATATATTATCTATTCAAAATTTATACATTTTTCTAAAGAAAAAGTAAAAGTGAGCATGTCTAACAATCTATGAGATTGTTTTATTACAATTAATACTTAGATATTCAAATAAAAAAATAAATTGGGCCTTGAAGGACCAATAAAATTACAATAGGGAAAATGAAATGCATTTGGGTAAAAAGAACATAGTGAACAATACAAAGAAGGAGAAAATTGCTAGTGGTAGATAACTGAATCTGGTATGGCTGAAGCACATAGTGACAAAAAATAATGGGAAAGTAGGTTGGAGCTAGATTAGAGAAGGCCTTGAAGGTCATATTAAGTGTTTGGTTTATCAAAGAACTGAGTAACATATGTTCTCATTCATAAGTGGACCCTGAAGATTTACCATAATACTATAAGAAAGGGATTGGCAGTAGCTGGAAATTACCAGGGGATGGGGGGGGGCACATAACATTAATAGGAGTACCTGATCTCAAAGTAGGGACCAAAAGGAGGCCTAAATTTTACCTGTATGATGACCACTTGTATACCTAATCCTGAATAGTACTGCACATCTTTAAAGTAAATAAATTGAAAGTCAAATAAAAAGTGCTTGGTTTATTATGTGCAGAGAAAACGGAACACATCAAAAATTTTTAAGTAGGAAAGTGACATCATTGAGGAAGTGCTTGGGATGTTTACTCTGGTAGAAATAAAAAGGACAGACTGAAAGGAGAAGATAGGGAAACGAGTGAGGAAACGATTTTAATAATTAAAACAAAACCCCCCGCAAAACTAGTAGATGGGAGTAGTGTGAGTGTAAAGAAAGGGATGTATGTTACAGATAGAACAAACTCCTAGGAGAATAAATTGAGAAGGAGAAGGGAATGATTTTAGGAATGATCCAGGCTATTGCTAACACAAAGGAAGGATGAGAAAAAAAATGCAAGAAGAACTTTGTAATAAAACCCCCAACAGAATTAAGAAAAAATCTCAAATAAAATGGAAATTCTGGAATGCTAACAGAAAAAAACTTAACATTTTTTCTTACTCAAGTCATTATAGTCCTAGGCACTGGAAGTTTCAGCTGAATGGTTAGGAAGGAAGCAACAGGAGAAAATGTGGCACTCCAAGAGCTTAGACAGACACAAAGGGCCAATGTGAGATGTCAACTGAAGGGCTGAAACTGGGGGCATACTTTAAAAGCATGAGGAAAAAAATGAATAGGCAGAGCCAAATCATTATGTAAATAGAAGTTCAGCATTGAAATTATATGAATCAAAGTGTTGTAGATATAGATAGTTCAGGACTTCTTTGTACCTTGTAACCCTACTTAATGTAGCTAATAATCTTAAAGATAATAAACAGTAGAGTCTCTCAAATCAATCACATAAACAGCTCACTGGTATAACAAATACTCTCCAACATTCCCTCTGTAATGCATTCTGACTGATGGCCCTTTTTTGAGGGAGTTTCTTTGTGGTGATAGAATAGTTTTATATCCCAATTATGGCATTTGGTATCTTAGTCCCTTAGTTCATTCAGTGTTGCTATAAAGGAGTATCTGAAACTGGGTAATTTACAAAGAAAATAGGTTTATTTGGTGTACACTTCTGCAGGCTGTACAGGAGGCACAGCACCAGCATCTTCTTCTGGTGAGGGCTTCAGGCTGCTTCCACTCATGGGGGAAGGCGAAACAGAGCTGGCTTATGCAGAGATCACATGGTCAAGAGAGGAAGCAAAAGATAAGGAGGAAGGTGCCAAGCTTTTTTAAACAACTAGCTTTCAAGGGAAATTAATAGAGTGAGAACTCATTCAGCACCCTCATTTATGTGGTATCCAGCCCCATGATCCAGACACTTTTCATCAGGCTTCACCTCCAACAAGAGAGTTGGAACAGCAAACAATCAAATGATAGAAGCTGGTAATATGAATCTATACATGTGACAAAATTTCATATATCACCTGTCTCACTGAAACCAGTGAAATCTAAGTATGTATCTAAGTTAATAATATTGGACCAACATCAATTTTCCAAGTTTGATAATGTACTGTGTTTATGTAAGACATTATCATTGAGGGAAGTTGGATAAAGGTACATGGTAACTATACTATTTTTATAACTTCTTACGAGTTTTAAACTATTTCAAAATAAATAGTATTTGTTATATACAAGGGTTTAAATTAAGATGATAAGCTTTAAAGCTGTCATATATATAAATAAAATAATCTTTTAAAAAAGGCAGAGGGAACTAGGTATGGTGGCTTATACCTACAATCCCAGATCTTTGGGAGGCCAAAGTGGGAGGATCACTTAAGCCTAGGAGTTTGAGACCAGCCTGGGCAATATAGTGAGATGCTATCTTTACAAAAAATCTTTTAAAAAATTAACAAGGCATGGTAGTGCAGGGCTGTAGTGTCTGCTACTCAGGAAGCTAAGGAGGGAGGATTGCTTGAGCCCAGGAGATCGAGGCTGCAGTGAGCTATGATCATGCCACTGTACTCTAGCCTGTGTGACAGCGAGAGATTCCAACTCAGAAAAAAAAAAAAAAAAGCAGAGGGAAAGGAATATGGGAAGGATGGAGGAACTGAATAAAAAGGAAAAGTAGAATGGGATAAACCTATAAGCTGAATATGAAGGTCTGTCTTACCAGCTCCCTGAATCTGCTCCCTAACTCCAAAACAAGCACTCTCAGAAGAGAGAAGAAAGAAAGAAAGAACTATGAAAGGGAGGTTATGTCAAGAGCTGTACTGGTCAATATGATAGCCATTTAACATTTAATTTAATTTAAAATTCAGTTCCTCATTTGCTCTGGCCATAATCCAAGTGCTCAATAACCACATGTAGTCAGTGGCTACCATATTAGGCAGTACAGATAAGGAACACTGCCATAAGCAGAGTAAGTTCCACTAGACAGTGCTGCTGAGGGAGAAAAATGGATGTTATCAGGAAAGGACCCATAGCATGCTTTTTAGGCGGTAATGTACCATTTGTTAACCTACATAGAGGCCATGGATATTCTATTATTCTTCCTTAAATTTATATATATTTTTTACACTCTTCTGGAATATATACAGCAAGACAAAATAAACAAAATCAAAATATAGATTTCTGCATATAACCTAAAGACATACCTAGACAATTCAAACAACTGAATTCAAGTTTCCTAAAATCAATAAATAAACTAAATTATATTATATGAAACAAGTCTAAGGCAACTTTTGATATTATATTCTTAGACCAATATGAAAAAATATTTCAATTATAATCATGACACAAAAAGGTTTGAAATTGATTTCATCATACTAAAACTTTTAGATTCCCAAAACAGATGAGCATTGAGACCAAATAAAACTTGTGCATCCCATACTGAGATCAAATAAGTCTTTACAGTCATGACAGACAGTAACATCAATGTCTCAATGTTGACCAAAAGGGGAACTGTTAAATTAAATCAGAGCTGCCTCTGTACATATTTTACATTTGGCCTAAAGGTTTCTCCATACATAGTGAACTAGTGAACTATAACCTAACTTGATGTATAAACAGACTGTAATCTTTTATAACAAGTAGCCAAGTCTCAGTCAACTATGGGCAGCCAACTGTTCAAACCAAGTTCAAATAACGCAAATGCTCAGCTGTACCCAATCCAAGTATTTATGCACCTCACTTATGTTTTCTGTATGTTACATTCCTTTTTTGAGTTAGGGTCTCACCCTGTCATTCAGGCTGTATTGCAAGGGCATGATCATGGGTCACTGTAGCTTCTGCCTCCTGAGTCTAAGTGATCCTCCTGCTTCAGTCTCCCAAGTAGCTGGGACTATATGTGCCTGCCACTATATCTGGCTAATTTTTTACTTTTTTGTAGGAAAGAGATCTCGCTATGTTGCCTAGGCTGGTCTCAAACTCCTGGGCTCAAGCAATCCTCCCACCTCAGCCTCCCAAAGTGTTAGGATTACAGGTGTGAGCCACCATACCTGGCCTGTCACTTTTCTTTTTCTGTCCATAAATGTTACTTGATCATGTGGCTACTCTGTAGTTACTCTATTCTGGTTCTGGGGGCTGCCTAACTTATGAACTGTTGTTTGCTCAGTTAAACCCTGTTATACTTCATTTGTCTAAAGTTTTTCCTTTAACAAATCTAAGAGCCCTCTCAACAATAGCAGTTGTGGCAAAGGGAACTGAGAAGATATTCTTGGATCTAAAATAGGAACAGACTAGACTGGATAGGAAAGACCTGGGGGGAAAAGATAGGTGAAGGGGACTCTCCTGAGGTCAGAACAAATATCAAATATTGGCCTCAGAAACAATTCCATTTGAGGAGTGACAACTGGATTATATTAGTTTGTTAAGGTATTGATGCCCCCAGGATATTGTTATAAACAATAAAGCAATCATGTGACTAACCTAGCCATCTGCCTGCTGTCCATCACCTGACATCAGTACCTGCTCCTCTGTGATGATGTGGAGGAGACCACTACCCAATCACCTTAATGACCTTTTCCCACCAAAGGGAAGAATTAAAAGCACTCAATCATGGGCAGCTAGCATCCATTACTTTACTAGACTCAGGTGTGGTCATGTGCTCTTTGACAAGGCTACCTACCACCAGTTTCCTAAGCTCTGGCTTAGAGAGGTGAATTCTCTCTCTCTCTCTTACTCTCTCATTTTCTGTGAATAAACTATATTTTCTGCATCTTTCACAGGGCACCAGATTGCACATCAGACACCCACACCCCCTGCAGGCCTGACGTAACATTCTGGAGGCCCCACTGGGAGTGTGACTTAACAATCACAAATTTCAGTAACAGAATTTATGAATTTCATTATATAATGTAATCATAAACTCTATATGCCACTTCTCGGACATCATCCATTCTGATACATAATTAACATTTGTTAAAAAGTGTGAAACGATAAATATCAGATTAACTATCAAATATTTGATAATAATATGAAAAATCTTACTGGTCTGACGTCACCACAGGAGTTGGTAAATTGTCGAGCCAAGCCAAAATCAAGCATGTAACATTTCCTATGTGTACTAGGAAAACGACCCATGGCGAAATTGGACTAGAAAAATAAAATAGGAAAATATACACATTCTTATAATACTTAGTCCTTACATCTTACCCTCCCTATATTTTAATTCTTCTATGAAAACTCTATATAATACAGGTGTTCCAAATATACTGTTCTAGTCAATTATGATATTTACTAGGTAAACTTTGAGCCTAAAATAATTTAAATGACTGCATAAAGGTACATATAAGACAACAATAAATTAACTAGATTTGGAACTCTAAGTACCTTGAAATTCTAGTCTAAGTCACTGCTTAAATGACAACCCAATCCCAACTTTTTAAAATAGGAAAAACTAGGGATGGGGAAAAAAATACACAAAAGAAATTTAAAAGAATTTCCTATAAGTATCATAAAGCCGAATTTCACTAAGTCTAAAATTAAAATGCAATTTAAAGAAACATTTCAAAACAGACTTAAGGAAAATTTGCATTCTTTCCTTAATAAAAATCAATGTAATATCAAAATGATCACAAATTTCTAAAGATGATTATGTAGAGGACTCGTGAAACTAAAATCCAAATTGTTACAGAAATGTTAGCTTTTTTTTAAAAATACTGTTCTACTTTTGGAGCTTTCTGATAAAAATGGAAACTCTTTAATCACCATGGCTCTCAAATAATGACACCCAGAAGAGGCTAGCTCTACTATGTTAAATTTAGTTGCCATTTTTAATGTAAATTAATTTTAGAAATCATGTTTCAACAGATGGCTATACTTTTCAACTGCATCAACATATGATAAATTTATAGTAAATACAATATTTCAGAAATAGATCATTTCCCCTCATGAACAATAAAACCAAAAAAGGGGGGAAAAGCATATTTCACAGCTATGAAAATAATAATTTTCAAGAAAAACAGAATAACAAGAAAATCCCACTGTTTTTCTGCAGTAGGACTTAGGAGAAAAATAAGGTTTCTCAGAATTGATGATTTTTTATAAAATACAATTTGTGTCTTGACAAATAGTTCAAAGAACACAATGTGAACAACTAAAAGCAACATACACATATATTTTAAACCAATATCAGAAAAAAAGAAATGAACAGAATTAACCAATTTAAGCTTATGACTAAATAATTGGTACTGTTAATGTATGTAATAATAATATTAATAGTCAAGTATAAACTTTTTTTTTTTTTTTTTTTGAGTTGGAGTCTCACTTCGTTGTCCAGGCTGAGGTGCAGTGGCACGCTCACAGCCATGCCAGTGTCGACCTGCTGGGCTCTGGCAATCCTTCTGCCTCAGCCTTCCAAATAGCCAGAACTACAGGTGCACACTCCCATGCCCGGCTAATTTTTTATTTTTCATTGCAGAGACAGGGTCTCACCAAGTTACCCAGGCTTGGTCTCAAACCCACGGGTTCAGGCAATCCACTCACCTTGGCCTCCCAAAGTGCTGGGATTACAGGCTAAGCCACTGAGCCCAGCCTATTTTTTATTTTTTTAAGGCAGCATCTCACTGTGCTGCCCAGGCTGGAGTGATCATCATTGCATACTGCAGCCTCAAACTCCTGGGCTCAAGTGATCCTTCCACCTCAACCTCTAGAATAGCTGGGATTCCTGAGTAGTATGAGGCACTGCAACAGTCTCATTTTTTTTTTCTTTTTTTTTTGAGTTGAAGTCTCACTCTGTCGCCCAGACTGGAGTGCAGTGGCCGCTCCCGGCCACCGCAGCCTCGACCTGCTGGGCTCCGGCGATCCTTCCGCCTCAGCCTTCCAAGTAGCTGGAACTACAGGCGTGCGCTACCACGCCTGGCTAATTTTTTATTTATTGTAGAGATGAGGTCTTGACAAGTTGCCCAGGCAGGTCTCAATCCCACGGGCTCAGGCAATCCACTCACCTCAGCCTCCCAAAGGCATGGGATTACAGGCTGAGCCACCGAGCCCTGCAGTCTCATTTTTAATTTGGCTGCCAAGCAACATTTTCACTTATGAGAAAAGGTCTTGAAAACAAGTTTTAGTTTGTAATTATTACTTTTTTAAAATTAAGAGTTAAGTTATATCTTTGCTTCCAAGTCTCTACAGAAATAAAAATATTACCTTGTGTTTAACCATAGCAAATGCAGAAAACTACATTTATAATTTATTGTGTCCCATCATAATACTAAGAGTACCAAACAAACTCATTGTATGCTCTGGCTGGAAGAGACGCCTACCGGTTTGATGTCTCGGTGCAAGAATCCCACAGAATGGATGCTTTCAATAGACTCCAAAATCTGTTTACCCAATCGGAGTGTAGTGCTAATGGTGAAAGTGCCCCGGGACTGGCTACGGCGAAGATCCGCCAGATTCCGACCCTGTGAAAACCAAAGAAACACTTTTAAGTATGGTACTAAAACTATATTACAAGACTGAGAAATTATTCATTTACCATTGCAAAACATTTCAACTGAAATAGCAAGGGTTTTAACCCAAATCATGATCTTCATTCAACAGAAGAGAGTTCTAATAAGATGACTGTTTCAGACAAATTTAAGAATAGTTTTTTAGCATATCATCTCTCTGATTCATCATGTTTCCCATGATCTCTGATGTCATAATAAAGCACAGACTTGATTATTTAAAATTATATGTAAATATATTTATATTATTTAAGTATATTTACATTTGATTATTTATATCTATCTATATATACATATATATGCCCAGAGCAGTAATTCATCATTACAGTCTAACATTTATTCCCATACAAGCTACTTAACTTTTCTACATCAGTTTTCTCATAAAATGAGGCTAATAAAACCTACTTCACTGAGTTTTGTGAGGATAAAATGAGATCTATGTAAAGTGTTTAGTATACTGTTTGGTATACAGTACATACTCACTAAACACTAACTATTGTTATTATGACTAAATATAATATGACAAACACTCAATTATTTGTAGTAGTAGTAGATAAAAGCAATCAATGCATCTAATCTGTGCCAGATGTATGACATTCATGATTACATTTACTCCTCACAGCACCCTAAATAGAAGTTGTTCCTGTTCCTGTTTTATAGATGAGGAAACAGATTCAAAGAGGTTAAGTAATGTTAACCTATTAAGGAAAAGCTGTTTTTCAAATCTGTCTGACTCTGAAGCATTCTTTTTCTACTATGCTTTTTTCACAGTGCTACTCCACCAAGGTTCCTTGTTGCTTAGGCAAAAAGCCACAATCTAAAGACAGCAAGACTACCCACTCTGCAGTTCTACCTCCCAAAAAGAAAACTGGCTCCCATATCACAAGAGGATTTAAATATCCCAATCTCTCTATTCCCAAAATAGTGTATGTTTGGGGTTACCATGCCACTAATACCATCACTTCATCTAAAGACAATTGATTCACTTTTGAAAAAGTAGTAAATTCTTAGATTACTTAAGTATCATTCAAAAGAAAATATTAGTTATTTTTCAAGTAGTCTAAGAGTTTAAAAATTAAAGTCAGAAAACTTTTTCATACTTCGTATCTTCTTATTTTTTACTTTATTTTATTTTATTTAGTCAGGGTCTCACTGTCGCCTAGGCTGGGGTACAGTGGCGTGATCATGGTTCACCGCAGCCTCAAGCTCTTGGGCTCAGGTGATCTTTCCACTTCAGCCTCCCAAGCATTTGGGACTACAGGCTAAGTGTTTTTTTATTTATTGTGTACAAAAAAGGTTGCCCAGGCTGGTCTCTCAGATCCTCCCACTCTGGCTTTCCAAAATGCTGAGATTACAGGTGTGAGCCACCACACCTGGCCTGAAACTTCATTTGTAAACAGCTTTCATCCTAAAAGCTTTCAAAAGGAAATCAAACAAATTTAATTCATGATAGTAGTAATAATGTAAAAACTTTGAGTGTTTTAAAATATAAATCTAACATTAATTAGCAAAATCTGAGAAGACAAATACAAGGATGACAACCACATGGGGGGGGAAGGAAGTGCTACTGAAATGGTGAAAGCATGCAGGTTTTACCCATCAAATTATACTTCAGGGTAAATACTACTAAATTATACTTCAGAGAAAAACTGAAAAACCTTATCCATGGTTTTGCCTTCCCAGTTTCAGTTACCCATAGTCAGCTGTGGTCCAAAAATATTAAATGGAATATTCCAGAAATCAAGCATTCATAAGTTTTAAATTATGGGCTGTTCTGAGTAGCATGATGAAATCTCATGCCAACCTATTCTGTCCTGCCTAGAACATATATCATCCCCTTAATCCAGCATACCCACAGGCTACCTGCCCAGTAGTCACTTAGTAGTTGAATCAGTTACCAGAAATATAGGGTTTGATATTATGTGTGGTTTCAGGTATAAAACTTGTGGTCTTAGAATATATCCTCCTCAAATAAGAAGGGACTACTGTAAACATCAATAAATGAATGGTTAAATAAATGATGGTACAACCATCTGACTAATATGCAGCCATTCAACAAATGAAAAATCTTTATATATAGTAATATGGATTAAATAAAAGAAACAAGCTAATTTCTTCCTAGAAATTCTATAAATCTAACAAGATCCCAATAAAAATCAAGTGGATTTTTTAAAATGAAAAATGGAAGCCGGGCTCGGTGGCTCAGCCTGTAATCCCGCGCTTTGGGAGGCTGAGATGAGTGGATTGCCTGAGCCCACGGGTTAGAGACCCGCCTGGGCAACTTGGCAAGACCTCATCTCTACAATAAATCAAAAAATTAGCCGGGCATGGTAGTGCGCGCCTGTAGTTCCAGCTACTTGGAAGGCTGAGGCGGAAGGATCGCTGGAGCCCAGCAAGTCGAGGTTGCGGTGGCCGGGAGCGGCCACTGCACTCCAGTCTGGGTGACAGAGTGAGACTCTAACTCAAAAAAAAAAAAAAAATGAAAAGAAAAACGAAACATACACAAAAGGAAAAACAAATAATATAATTAACCCTCATGTAACTTCTGGTCACCAAGAATTAATAATTATCAATTTATGGCCAATTTTATTTCACCTATCACTCATCACCACATTCTCTCCCCCCTCTCACACATATATTGAATTATTTTCATGTAAGTTTCAGTCATATGATTGGATTTAAATATATTAAAAAGTATCCAACTGGGTGCAGTGGCTCAAGCCTGTAACCCTAGCACTTTGGGAGGCAGAAGCGAGAGGATTCCAGGGGTTTGAGACTAGCCTGGTTAACTTGGCAAGACCTCCTCTATACAATAAATCAAAAAATTAGCCAGGCGTGGTGGCATGTGCTTGTGGTTCCAGCTACTTGGAAGGTTGAGGTAGAAGGATCATCTGAGCCCAGCAGGTCAAGGCTATCGTGTCTGTGAGCATGTCACTGCATTCCAGCCCAGGCAACAGAGTGAGACTCTGACTAAAAAAATAAAATAAAATAAATATATATACACATATATATGTATGCTATTAGCAATTCTATTATTACAAATTTGAATTAGAAACATCAGTATAAACCATGGCATACTTTTCTCTTAAAAAAGAAAAAAACAAAGTATTTCCTGAATCCATCCACTTGAAAAAAATTAAAAATAATGACTAAACCGATTGCAACAGGCACCTATAGCATCTAGGTTGTGAGTTCTAAACTCCATTTTCCACTGAAAGGAATGAGGGCTTACTGGAGAAATGGCTGGTTCCAGATTTGGAAAATGAAATCTATAGAATGGGCCCAGAACATAATGTTATACCAGAAAAAAAGGATGCTACCAAAGACTGCTGCAATCCAGCAGTATCAAAATGAATTCAGATCCAACTTGAAGGAAGTCCTACCAGCCAAAGATGGGACAATTTGAACATTAAAAAAAAAAAACTGCAAAGATTGAAAGACATGAAATATGTTAAATCCATGAGTTCATGGGTTTATTATCTATTTATATATATTTCTGTGTATATATTTATATCAGAGAACCAAATCATTATTCTGAAAACTAATAAATAAAATAATCAGTGATTAATCCTGCCCTTTCTATATGAAATGTACCTCAGGATAACCTAACAGTGAACAAAGCACTTTTTAAAGAATTCTAGCTAACAAAAGAAGTAGAAATGGTAGAACAGTTTATTAGCAACTCCCCTTAAAATAACAGATCTGGTCAATGATTACTAATGGGTAGGTAAAACTATTAAGAGAAAAACTATTGGGAATTTTAAAATGGATGGATCAGGATGACAATCCCTGAACTCACTGATGAATCGTAACAACACTAAAAAACAGACAACTAGATAGTGCCTCCTTGTGTGATGCAAAAGGAAGCACAAACCCACCTCTGTAGTATCTTTGTCAAATAAAATAAAACTGGACTCATCTAAATGACAGTTTATAGGAAATACAGGAGGCAGAAGTATATGTTAAACATCATCACAAGAAAACAATCAGAAGAATCCAAAATATGCATGTCAAGTGACTCCATTTTTAGCAATGACAAAAGCAACAAAAAAAGAAAACTGGAGGAAAATAAAAGACAGAGAGAGAATCAACAGCTTAAAAGAGGTTTAAGAGATAAACAAAGTGTGAACCCTGTTTGGAACCAGAATCAAGTAAATCAAATGCAAAAAAAAAAAAAAGAAGAGAGATGGACAATTAAGGAAATCTAGACTGATTTAATATTTGTGCCATTATTAAGTAATTATAATTATGTATCATGGTTAATTTAAGAGAAAAGAAAGAGTCCTTGTCTCTTAGAAATATATGCTTATATTTGCACATAAAATATGCCTTGCATCTGCTTTAAAATAATCTGGGCAGGAGGCAGGGCTCGGTGGCTCAGCCTGTAATCCCAGTGCTTTGGGAGGCCAAGGTGAGTGGATTGCCTGAGTCTGCAGGTTTGAGACCCGCCTGGGCAACTTGGCAAGACCTCATCTCTACAATAAATGTAAAAAAATTAGCCGGGCATGGTAGCATGCGCCTATAGTTCCAGTTACTTGGAAGGCTGAGGCGGAAGGCTCGCCGGTCGAGGCTGTGGTGGCTGGGAGCGTGCTACTGCACTCCGGTCTGGGTGACAGAGTGAGAATCCAACTTAAAATAATAATAATAATAATAATAATAATAATAATAATAATCTGGACAGGAATAGGAAACAGAGATACAACAGAAACAGCATCAGCCATATACTGATAACTGCTGAACCTGGGTGACGAATAGATGATGTCCATTATACTATTCTCTCTACTTTTGTGTATGCTTGCTTAATTTTTCTCATAAAAAGTTTTGAAAATATGCCATCTTATATTAGGCAATTTAGATTGGTTCTGGTAACATAACTCAAAATATCTTTTACCCCTCCCTAGTTTATGAAATTATCACAAAAGTATTATACTGAGGATGCTATACTAACAATGCTC